CCTGTTAAACAGTAAATGACTGCCTGTAGGAACACAGTATCCTCTAGATGTATATTTTTGGTACTGATGTGATGATGCGTGATAACGGTAAGTTACTGGTAAATATATTGCAGTTTATTACCTTGCAGCATGCTTACAGTGACATACCGGGAATAAACGGTATGTCACTGTACCGTTTATACCAATACACCAGTACCAATTTCTGTGATAAGAAATACCAATTTCTTATCACAGTATGACGTTACTTTGTTGACATAATTTACGACATAACGGTATCTTACTGGTATCACTGTCGCCAGTGGGATACCGTAAAAAAGGCTACAGTGCGTTACCATAATTTGTCCAAGAGTATTATACCACAACAGCAAAAAACGGTATCATCCTGTGGAACGGTAACCTACTGTAACACAGCGTCATGGTATGACGCTGGCAACAGTGACGCCAGTATGTTGCCTTAAAGTGGAGATGAAAAGTCTAACAGTGTAGTCTAGTTTTTTTTCTTTCTAGCTTCTGCAAATTCAGAATACACAATTTCAAAAATGTTGTGAGAAGTGCACCAGTATTATTAGAAAGTGGAAAATGTGTGTCTGTGTCTTGCTTCCAGCTGCTTTCATGTTAGTGCAACAACAAAGACTTCTAAGGTGTTGTAAAAATACTCATAAAAGTTTCTCTGTGTCATTTTATTATGTTTTAAGGTTTTGTACCTGAGTTCAGCAGGTGATGGAACTGCAGAGACCTGACATTGAATCAGTTGGAAACGAAAGCTTGGAGAACTGGCAGTTAATTGACTCTGGTGGATTTGGTCAAGTCTTCAAGGCTAGACACAAGAAGCGGAGGTGTGGCGTGGCCATTAAGCTACTTCAACATGCTGCTGGGTAAAATTAGAACAGAACTATTTCTTAATTTTTATACTTCCAAGTACATGAACTAGTCCTTTCCTAAAGCTTTTACATTTTCCTTCCAACGCTAGGGACATAGAACTGTGTGAGGAGGCAAATCATATGGCCAAAGTCTCCTTACACAGTTCTGTGCTGAGGCTTTATGGAATATATAGGGGATGTCCACCAAATGGAGGGCAGAACATTCAGTTGGGAATTGTTATGGAGCTCATGGATAGAGGATCTGTTCAGACCCTGCTGGAGACTTTGTCAGGTCCACCACCATGGCCTCTGGCCTTCCGCTTGGCCTACGAAATCGCTCAAGGAATGAACTTCCTCCATGAGAAGAACATTTTGCACCATGACCTAAAGCCAAGCAATGTACTGCTGGATGGTGACCTTCATGCCAAAGTAAAGTGCTATTCACTCAACTCATTAGTTTATACTGATGTAATTGTGTTATTTTATTTTTTTTCCTTGATTATTTTGCAGCTGGCAGATTTTGGTCTGTCCAGGGTTTCCACCAGTGTTCTGATGAGCTCTGAAGAAATGTCCACAGTGAAAGGAGGCACATGTCAGTACATGCCTCCAGAGTCTTTTGATCCATCATATAAGCCTGTTCGTAAATTCGACATATACAGGTAAACATTAAAAGAATAGTTGAGGGGATTTATGTATGATTATAGATTTTACCTTAAACACATTGTGTTAATTCCTTCTCTTTCTTTATCTTGTAAAGCTATGGTATTCTTCTGTGGTCTATTATTTGCGGGAAAAAGCCTTTTCCAGGTACAATGAATGGATTTCAGTTACTTATCATTTTCCATAAATTTCTCTATGTTTGTGTGTTTGTTTTTCCTCATAAGTTTCCAGTTTTCTGGTCAAATATTTGCCCTT